CATTGGCAAGTGGATTCTTTACCCCTGCACTACCTGGAAAGCCCTGTTTTTTAGATATTAGCAATTGCTTATTTTAAAGATTAAGGAATCAGTTAACTCTTTCAGCTTTGCAAATGGGTAATATGTCAGCTTACAAGAAGAAAAAAAACCCTTATTTGTTTAAATCTTATGAAATTCTGCAGTTTTAAAAATTAAAGTGGCATTTTTTTTGCATGAAGATTTTAAAAATTAGGACAGAGATACACAGGGGTGTCATTAAATATTGGATAGTAATTACTGTTAGAGCCAATTTTTCAGTGTTTGGGGTCCTTTGTGCAAAAAGTACATGTCTATAAACAGCTAAGCTATACCTCCAATAAATATTCAACAATGACCTGTGTTATAGCACTTTGAAGAGAATGAGGGTAATGTGATTATTATGACATCCTGTCTTCCCACAAGGTTCTCACAGAAGAGTAAATCTGCTTCATTCCACATTCTTTCCTATTCGTCCCTAGAACTATAGGTCTAGAGCAAGATTTTCAAAGAAACTCAATAAATGTGCATTACACACTGTTTAATGATGATGAGGAGGCCCAGGTTTGATCCCTGGGTTGGGAAGATCCCCTTGAGAAGGAAATGGCAACCCATTTGAGTATTCTTCCCTGGAAAATCCCATGGACAGAGGCACCCAATGGGCTACAGTCCATGAGGTCACAAAGAGTTGGACAACAACAAAACAAAATATCTACTGAGAGATCCTGAGAATACTTAACCCATCAAAAACATGGACTGATGCTGCTGCTAAGTCGCTTCAGTTGTGTCTGACTCTGTGCGACCCCATAGACGGCAGCCCACCAGGCTGCCTGGAATTCTCCAGGCAAGAACACTGGAGTGGGTTGCCATTTCTTTCTCCAATGCATGAAAGTGCAAAGTGAAAGTGAAGTCGCTCAGTCATGTCCGACTCTTAGCGACCCCATGGACTGCAGCCTACCAGGCTCCTCCGTCCATGGGATTTTCCAGGCAAGAGTACTGGAGTGGGGTGCCATTTCCTTCTCCAAATCATGGACTACTTGTGGTATATTCATATTGCCAGGACTGTGTCTGTGTGGTTCTAAGGATTCAGAAAAGGTATTTAGGCAGTTCAAAGAGCCTACTTATTCTCCTGAAAGAAAAATAGTATAAAGATCAGTATCTTTGCCTCAGGAATATTTTGAACCCTTTCCTTATGATTGAGAGAAAAAGTCTTTCATTAAAATCTCTATCAGAAATTATTAAAAGAAGGTTTTTGTTTTGTTAAAGGTACAAATCAAAGCTGCAACATTTTGGTTGCTTCATTTGCTCAGTCAGTTCAGTTGCTCAGTCATGACTCTTTGCAACCCCATGGACTTCAGCACGCCAGGCTTCCCTGTCCATCACCAATTCCCGGAACTTGCTGTAACTCATGTCCATCGAGTCAGTGATGCTATCCAGCCATCGCATCCTCTGTCATCCCCTTCTCCTCCTGCCTTCAGTCTTCCCCAGCATCAGGATCTTTCCCAGTGAGTCGGTTCTTCACATCAGGTGGCCAAATATTGGAGTTTCAGCTTCAGCATTAGTCCTTCCAGTGAATATTCAGGACTGATTTCCTTTAGGATTGACTGGTTTGTTCTCCTTGCTGTCTTTGGTTGCTTACAAGTCCTCATATATCATATTTATGAAAATTTAACGGTGTTTTTCTTTGGTGAACTTCATTTTCAGGTTCAGGGTGGAGATAGTTATAGTTGTCACTTCTGAGGGGATGTGCTGTAATCTGGAGAGGCTATATGGCCTGAGTGGAAATACAGTAGCCTCAGCACAGAACCTAGTCCTGGTCTTGTCACTCAGCATTGGAGCAGTCTTGAGGAAGCCCTTTTACTACTCAAGTCCATAGCATGGGTGAGGAGATAATATTTATGTCTAAATGTCTTTGATTCTTTTTCTTTAATTATGGACAGAGTCCTGATGTGATAGCCTTGGAAAGGGAAGATTATCACTATGAAGAGAAATTATGGTAGCTGAAAACTATATGCCAGTCAAATATCTTTGTATGACCACTGCCTTTGTTTTATAAATTCCCTTAGAGTAGGATATGAAGGGAGAAATTTTGCTGTTTGTTCATTCCTTTAACACTTGTGCATCATCTATTATATGTCAGCCACTGGTCTGGGTGTTTTAGATCCAGAGATAAGTAACACACACCCCTATCTCCGAGGAACTTAAGATACAGACAAAAATTAACAGAGGATGATAATACCATTGACAAGTGTAATGAATGATGATATTAATAGGTCTTAAAGGAGAAACACATCACCTGATAAGTGCATAAGCAGCCATGGAAGTAAGAAACAGTATGATATGTGGAGAACTATGAGCAGTGTGTGAAGAACACTTGCTTGTTTGTTTTGCTTGTTTTCACTTCAAATCATAGATTGTGGGATTATACAATGATATAACTTACACTGCTTCTGTTAAGTAGAGAGAACACATAATTTTGTGACTCTAAAAGTGATAGATGCCTCTAAGATTTCAAGTCAAAAGCACAGATCAGGGCTAAGCTTTCCAGAAGTTGCAGTGACAGGGGTGATTTGTATCTCTTAGGGTATGAGATACTGTTGCATCTCTTAACTAGTTTCACATTGTAGCTAATTGATAGCTCTAATACAATTTAAAAGAAAAAAAAAAACAAAACAAAACTCCCTGCTTGTTACTCTGATGTCCTCAGTATAAAGATAAATGAAACTCTTAAGTATTCTGGATATATACATTTGTGCATGAAAATTTTAGCAGATCTGCCCACTTATTTGTTAATGTTAAAGATAAAGTTTAGAAATTGCTAGAAAGGTGTTATTCCTTCCTATACCCCTCCTGGCTATAAAGCCATTGAATCAGCTCTTAATGTGACTATGATAACACATTTCTCTTTCAATCTTTTGGTTCCATAAGATGCTGGAATTTTTTTCTTCCTTTCTCTGTCTCTAACTCTCTTAACTGGGAGTTAAGGTCTTGCTAACATAGGTGCCTAATAGATGAATATGATGAATGGATATACATTTAACAATAAAATAATAGTTCATAATGTGTTAACTTAAAGCCATAAATATATTGGGTGATCACACAACAATAAAACCACTATAATTATACTGACAAGCAATCAAACTGGCTCTTTTATGCTGAACTGAGACTACCTCTGTAACAGAAATAACCAAAAACCAGGCCAGGAAAATAAGTTTCTTGTTTCCTGTACTAAATGTAATTTCAAAAATTAGGCTTCTTTGCATTTCTTTCTGTTCAGGAAAGTGGGGTGGAGGAAGAGAGAAGAAAACTTAAAAAAAAAAAAACTTTTTCTGAAGGTATTTTAAAATCATCTTTCACAATAAGAAAAAATTATAGTCCTGGAACCAATATTTGGCTCTCTTCAAAAGAATAGACATTTTCCAATGGCTGCTTGTATATTTTCCCTAAATAGATGCTCAAATGTGAAAAATAAGCAGGGTGCCTGGAGATAGCTAATAAGATTTAGGTACTTGAAATTCTACATTGGTCAAGTAGCACTATATATATATTTGAAAGCTGAGTTTCTCCTTTTTTCAAAAGGGAATACCACTCCTCAAGATAACTTAGGTTGTTAATGGCAAGGTAGGCACAACACTTTGCAATATCTGTGCTCTTGTGAATGGTTTTCTGTGCTTCATTTCCTCAGAGCTTTCTTGAGGATCTAGATGAATCCATCCTCGCAAATGCATTTAAATCAATGGCAGTTTTAAAGGAACAACTATGAGAGAGCACAAGTTATATTCAATATTTTCAAGATGCATGCTTATTAAAGTCTATTTTGAGTGTAACTGTTTTCATAAATTTTAGGAAATTTTAGGAAACTTCATAAACACTGTTGTCAAGTTTGATAATCAAGTTTGTTTTAAAATGAATTTGGACCCATTCTGCTTTAAGCAACTGGAATTATTTGCCCACTGTTAATGTCACTCATTTATTAGATCTCGGGTGGGTAGGCTACAACCCTACCAAGTCTCCAAGAGAGGTAGAAATGGAATCTCCACTTAACCAAAATTTCATTCATCCAGCACTGAGGCAGTTTACTGAGTGTGTATCGCTGTTTACATTACATTTTTGTTGTTGTTTTTGTTATTTTATGTAGAAATGAATTACACTGAAAACCAGAGTTAAACAGAAATGAACCTTTTGGGTAAATCTGCTCTTCTGTAATCTCCCATTTCTGCTCGTATTTTTACCATTCTGTTCATCCATAATGCTCCTGGACTAGAAACCTTGAGTCCTCATAGTTCTCCTACTGGCCAACTCCAGCCCTAGTCAGTCACAAGTCTGATTTTGTTCTAATTCTCTTGTACACTGAACTAGCTCAGGGCTGAATGGATTACAACTAGCAGAAATGTTGACTACTCTGCTTTTCTTTTGACTGGCTTAAGGCTCTCCACGCACACTGCCAAAGGTGAGGATCAAGGGAAGTTCTACTGTGTAAATGAATCTTAAGTGTCTTGAAAACAGTGGAAAGACCTTTCAGTCAAAGAGAATAGTACTATGAAGGCTTGAAACACAAAGGAGTTTCAAAAACTGACAGCACATTTTGGTTGACTTGAGAGTAGATACAGGGATGGATGGGGCAAATCAGAAATGAGACAAGTATCATCTTATAAAGTATTGGCTTTGCCATGCTACGAATTGTGCTTAAAACATAGTAGATACTCAGCAATCATTTATTAAGTGAATAAATAAATGAATCACTTTATCCACTACTAGTATATTAAATCTTTCTGTTTAAACATTTCATATTTGACTAGTTTGCACTTGACTCATTGAATGAAGACAATGTATTCACACTATTTTCAACCTCGTACGTGGCTGATCCTTAGTCTGTTATAACAATTAGAAACATTCCTTCTCTTCTAAGTGCTGTTAAATGTTCTTGAATTTAACATATATGGATATTCACATATATTTGTGTTTTTCTTTTTTTCTTATTCTAGGGTCAGATATCGTTCAATGGTTAATAAAGAACTTAACCATAGAAGATCCAGGTAAATAAATTATTTTCCCATAGAATTATTTTCTTTGTGGTTTTAAGAAATATGTTTTCTCAGGGCTAACATGACAAACAGACTTAGCAAGCAAACCTGAAAGGTTATAATTATATTTAACTATATTTTTCACATATATACAGATTTTATGGTGAGCATTTATTTATTTATTATTTATTATTTATTTATTTAACTAAAGACTGTAGTATACTTAACTATATTTAATTCAGTTTACTTAATTTTTTTCAATATGTAATGTCCTGTCTTATAATATTTAACTCAAATGATTGGTGACTGTTAGAATGGATGAGCATTATACATGTCCATAAATAATTATACATATAACTTATAGCAAGGGATTAGGAAATAATGAGATTTCTCATTGTTTGGTCTCACAGGACCAAATCTTATTAATTTTCCCTTAACTCTGTTTTTTTGTGTGAGGTTTGAAAACAATTTTATTTGTAATTCTAACTTCTTTTTATCACTCCTACATTTTGTTTTTAATGGTCTTATTGCAGTCATGGACTCATTCATTGTGGTAGACATTTTGTGTATTCTGCAACATGAAACCAACTTGCAGAGTTTGAAAACATTTTCTACCAGCACACTTTTTCATTGACTAGAACACATTCCTAAGTATGAAGAATTTAATGAATTTTAAAAAGTGTCACATAAGAAGAGCCTTCATGTGTCGCAGATTTTCCACATCCCTGAAATTAAAATGAGATGTGTTTTGTTTAGAGAAGATGCACTGAACTTCCTAAGGCCCCGTGGTGTTTTTCTGTTTTACTGCCGGTTGTATGAGAATAATTCTGCTGTTCTCCTACCGTTCTGAAGTATGGTATTCTTGAGTTCTCCAAGCTCCTTTCTGCATGGGCACACAATTTATTCTTTACATTATAAGCCTTCTGGTTTTTCAGGTCTCGATTGGGGAACAAGAAACAGGTGCTCTGTGCTCTTAGATAAAGGTAGTAACCTTTTGTTTCTTTTTGCCCCCCATTGTTTGAAATAGTATTCTATCATATTGATTAACCTTGCTGTGTAACAAACTACCCTGAAACTTAGTGACTGAGAATAAACAGCTCTGTTATTTAGTTCATGATTCTGTAGACTGGCTGGTCACGTCTTCTGGCCAGAGTTTCCTTGGTTGGTTTCTGCTGGACTTTCTGATGGACTGTAGCCAGCTGGTGGGTGCATGATCTAGGCTTTCTGACATATTTGGTGCTCGGTAGGCTGTCAGCCAGGTGCGTCTCGTTCTCTCATCCTTCAGCCTGCTAGCACTGGCTTTTCACCAGGCTGTTCCAAGCGCAACACAGGCTTCTGCTTGTGTCACATTTTCTCTTGTTTCATCTGCCAAGGCAAGCACCATGGCCAGGAACAGAACCAGTGCAGGAAAGTACTATCCAAAAACATGGATGCAGAAGGGTGCAAGCAAATTGGGACAATTCCTAAAAAATCTTCCACATCTATATTTCTTCTGCCTTTCTGATCTGCCCTCCTATGATATGTCCTACTAGCTTTTAGTTTGGAGTTGCAAAATCCACCCTCCAGCACCTGTTCATCTTTTCTTAGTAAATATGCTTTGTGTCCAATATCATATCATACTAATTGTAGATGTGATTTTGAGTGAATTTATCAAAAGATAAAGCTTCAGTGAATTTTCCATCCTTCACGAAATAGTTGACAAACCATCAATAACTCTTTGATATCACCCTGCTCATCTGTGATCCTTGCTGCCTCTCACGGGAAGAAGGGTCACTCTTACCAAACTCTTGAAATGATACTGATCAAGATGAGTAATACCTCAGACTAATGAGTAGTGAAGATTTGACATGAGTCTCACTATGACCTCTGGAAGTCAAAGAGCATTAAATATGTATATGTTCCCTAAGTGTCACCCTAATCGCTCTACTTTTCTCTTTCTATCAGCCCATGCTTCTTGAGATCCCAGTATTCCTTGAGAGGCATCCTGAAATTGAAGATGGCTCATGGGCTTTGCTGACATACTTGAGCTAGAATCTATATATATACTTCCTATCTATGGGGCATTGGGCAAGTGACTTAATTTCTCTGTTTTTACTTTTTTTCTTCTTTTCAGTAAGATGATTTTAGTACAGTGTTTTTTGAAGCTCAAATGAGTCAACATGCAAGTGTGCCAAAATCCTGATTTTATTTTTAAATAGGCCAGATTCTTTTAAAACCCTGAACATTTGCAGGGACATTTAACTAAATTGAATTCTCTAAAAATGTATGCAATTTTTATATTAGCCTTCAAAAACACAACCTGTTCCATGAAACCTTTTATTTATCATTCATTTCCCATTGGCTTTCCTTTACCATGAATATTTTCCAAGCATATTTACATTTGTTAGCTTAATTTTATTATCTTTTATATTTTATTTTACATGTTGGTCTTATTGCTTCAGTCAAATCTCGGTAACATAATGGCAGAGAACATATATATTGTCCAGTCATTGACTGAAGTGCCAAAGTCAATCAGTTCTCAATTATCACTTGATCTTTTTTTTTAAAACTAATGGGAATCCACAGAAGTGATATCAAATTTTTGATGACTACTGATTTAGTTTGTGATCTCCTAAATGGATGAGGAGAAGTGAAGAGGAAGAAATTTCAAATGCACTTTTCTTCATCTAAACCAAACCCAATGTAAAAGAAATGGTTTAAAATGCACACAGAAGAATAAGATTAAGAATAAATGTAGATTTATCCAGGATAAAAACTTAATTTTGAACAGTTGCAATTTTTTTCTTTAGAAGTATCATCTATTGTTAAAAAAAAAAAAAAACACTGAAAATTGAGATGTGTACAAAATTGAGATTCACCTGGATGTTTTATCAAACTGAATTGACTATCTTATCTGAATTAATTGAATCAATCTATTGTGTTCACCATTATAGAGTCTGTCATCTGCCCCTAAGTCTTGCCACAAGTCCTCTAGAGAAGTGATCTAAATTCTATTAAATATAATAAAATTCTGTTACATATGGCCTTTGTATTCCATGGATTTGGTTAGCTTGCCGGTGAGATCAGTATGTTTCAGATTTCAGAAAGTATAGAATATCTCTGTTCTTAGGTTTTAAAACAATTTTAAAACATAGGTTTTAAATAGATCATTTCATCTGAATACCACCAAAATACCATGAAGTAGCCATATAGACATAGTTATTTTACAATTGGAGAATCAACTGAGAGGAAACTATGAATGCCCCAAATCTGACAAAAGCCCATTTAAATGCATAGAAACTTTCCCCCAGTCTCTACCCTGTGTGTATGCTCCTTTTTGCACAATTATTTTAGAACTAGATCCTGCTTTTCCTTAAAAGATTGGCAGCCATGGTAGGTGCATAGGTCTACCTGATAAGATGTTTCAGTATCTTTTGGAATAAAGTACTTGATTTTTGGGGATTTGTTGTTATATTTACCTATTACATCCTGGGTATACCTTTTGTCAGAGCTATTTCCTATATATATCTCAATTCATATGTAATATAGGCAGAATAGAAGGAGATCTTTACTGTATACTCTTGTTTCAAACAATAGTCTTACTTGGATAGTGGAAAGTAGAAGCATTTAAAACACTCTGAACCTATAAAAATACATGTTTTATTGTCCAGTTGACAAGTTATCATGTCAATGTGAAATAAATTAAAGTGACCCCTTTATTAGTTATTATTTCAGTGCTAAAGAACCATTATAAGAAAATATTCTGTGTTTCTAAGGCATAATTTTAAATTCTGCTGATAATATTCAAGAAATCATAGACTGGAGCCATCACACACACACACCTCTAACAAGACTGATTAGTTTAACATTGTTCAGAGTGATAGATATTACCCAAGCATGCATCTTGCAAATTTGCATTTTCTGTTACAAGTAATGCTTAAAGAAAATACTAATAAATTCCTCGTATTCTTTGATTACTTGCTCCCAACCCATGTCCCTTCTCCTGCAGCCAGAGCTTGATAATTATGTACATTGTAGCCCACCAGGCTCCTCTGTCCATGGAATTCTCCAGGCAAGAATACTGGAGTGGGTAGCCATTCCCTTCTCCAGGGGATCTTCCTGACCCAGGAATCAAACCCAGGTCTCCGGCAAGCAGATTCTTTACCACCTGAGCCACCAGGGAAGCCCAGTTATGTACATAGGGAATGCTATACGTTGTTCTGATTATTTTCATGTGAGATGAGCAAGAAACATAGTTTCCATTATGCATTCATTTTAGTGTCTTATCAGCTTTTCTTTTTTTTCATGTACTCCATTGGAACCCCAGGTTTAAAAATACTTAAATATTTAAAATACAAATACGGTATTAATATCTTTATATTGAATATAATCAGGAACCTCTCTTTTGGTGGGCTTTGCCCCCTTGGGAATGCTTTAGCATGGCAGAAAGTAAAAAGTCTGCAAATGTTTACTCTATGGTATCTTCCAGTTCAAATAATCAAAACCAGCAAGTAAATTTCAGTCATATCTAAGCTACTGGCATCAACTCTTTCATTTAACTTATATCCTAGCTACACGTTGTTCTTTTCCTCTCCCCCGTTTATCTGTCTTTTGCATTTGCATTTAAATACCATATTTCATAATGAAACAAGTAAGTGCTAGTGTCATTTTATTAGTATTATCATGCAGTTACTCTACATAATTAAAACTCAAAGCCCAGAAAGTACTGAAAAATCTTCAGAAGTCCATAAATCAAAGTTAGGATTGTCAGAATACAGGCTGTAACTGCCAGCATGTCTGCCATGGTGTACCCATGAGCAGGCCATCTTTTCTGCTGATAGAGGATTTTTCTGGTTTTGGCTTCTGGCTGTCTTCATCTCCCACCTCGATTACTATATTGCAATAACAGAAAATAATTATAATACATTAGCATTAATTAATCGGGTGCCACCAGGTACCATGCTGTATGTTTTCTTCCTATTTAAATCATATGAATAGGAAGGAGACAAAAAAATTCACAGGTACTGAATACC